CTTATAAAACCCAGGTTGTGTGTGTGTGTGTGTGTGTGTGTGTGTGTGTGTGTGTGTGTGTGTTCGTTTATATATGGGATCGGATTTCCTACATTTTTCAACCGATTTCAACAAAACTTCACTTTTTTTGGCAGGTAGTGTTTCTTATTGTCTTGCACACTTTTTTCTTTATTTTTATTTCAGAATGCTTTAAAAATTCCATTTACAAGACAATTGTTTATAATAAAATTTTATTCAATCGGTAGACTCATAACGATTGAAAACAATGTTTTTGTCTGAGTTTGACCAATTCGTTAAAAAAAAAAAAAAAAAAAAACTAATTAAGACATGCGTGTCCGTCAACCTTAAACAATAATCTTTGTCAATTTTATTTTTCAGTCTTTATGATGGTGGATACTTGATCTATCTCTTACTGTTACATCCCGGGCAACGCTGGGCTCTACTGCTAGTCAGTAATATTTTACCATAACTTTGACAGTAAATCAATGGTAATGGAATTTGCCTAATATACCCGAATTTTCAACTCTCTACACATAAATTCAAATACCAGGAAGTTTCAATTACTCTTTTAAGAATAATAAATTAGTAGATGTGGATTTTAAGTAGACAAGAGTTTTTGAGAAGTTATGAACGAGGCGTGCATTTCTTAAAAGGCTAATTGAATCTTGCTAGGCTCAGTAAACACTTGCGACTTAGTGGCTTTATTGCCTTGTTTTGGGTGAAACGATATACCTAACCATAAATAAACCTTTCCCCTTGTTCACTAAAACTGCCATCACTATCGTATCAGTGTAACTGACTCCGTAGTTCTATATTGTACTTCTTATTACCGCTTTGATTCGGACGAAAAATGTAACCCATTTCTAAGAACAATACATGAAAGTTTACACATATTTTCTCCGCTTTTCCTATGAATATTTTTGATAATTTCTAAACATGATGCATGGTTACATTTACTATGCGTAACTTTAATTTATAATTACAAAAGATTGGAGATTAATTCTTTATCTGATTTCCTATAAAATCTAATACTTATTTTAAAGCATTAATAAATATTAATTAGCGTCCGTTGTCGAGTTATTTGAATTATCGTATGCCTGAATTTGATTGGCCATTACATCTGACGTCATAATATTTCCCCTAGTGGCGGTAATGGCTAGTTTTTGAAGTCTTTATTTTACTTGAAACACCATCACTTGACAAAACACCAGAAGTGTTGAAACAAAATGGTTATTTTTTTTTTTGATGTTATATCATACATTTTTGTTTAACAAAGATAAGCAGGTAATGGCTTGAGTTTGATACGACCTGATGTAAAAAATCTCACTCATTAATGATTCTAACTTTAGTTTCACTTTCTATCTTTAATTAATTCCAATGTCTTTTATCTTCTTTAAGTATTGGCAATTTAAATACCTCACACGTGGTTATTGACATTAATGTAAACGGGATGTGCAAAATGAAGTAGGAGGCTCTTTTTAAGGTCCCACCCACTTCTTTTAACCCCAAAGGATTCGGTTTAATAATCGGAATTCTTCGAACACCATGTTATTAATTCCTAAGCAACCGATAATTAAAAAGTGCATTTAAAAAAAAGAAAACCCATGCTTTTAAAGGTTAACGGATACCATTACCAGTAAGCTTTTAATTCCTCGGTATTTTTTTTTTCATTTATTTGTTTTTGTTTTTCTCTATGCGTTCTTATTTAATTTGATGCTAATGAAAGTATCTTTAAAAATTAGTTTTAAAAAGGCGGCGTTGAAAATGACCTTATCCTGACTTAGTTAATACTATCTCAGAAATGAAAGACAAGTTTCATTAAGTAAAGAAAAAAACGATAAAGCGAGGGGATGAAAATGACGCCTGGCGGACGAATTTCGAAGCGAGGAAACTGAAAAAGAAAAATATTAATTAATCTTAACAGAGAAAAAGATATACTGCCGAGGACAATTCGTAGAGACCTCACTCACTACAGATTTTTTTTTTCTTTATGGGAGTTCAGGGTACTCCAGCAACTAAAAAAGTAACCCACTAACAAGGATTTCTCGATTTCTAGCAATTTCCAATAAAGAATTTTCTTTGAATCCCAACAGAGAGAAAGTTTTCCTTTGTAGATTCCGTTTGGATTACGATATGGAATTTTTTTTATCTATGTATGATAGTTGGTCCTGAAAAATGCCTAACCAACCCGCTATGCTTTTCCTGTAATAAAATTCATTTTTCTCGCCGCTGACGCCAAATCAAGTTAAAACACCAATTCTCATACAATAACCGAAGTTAAGCAATGTCTTGCTTAGTACGAAGATAGCTGTTCGTTTTGCAATACCAGCGGCTGTAAGCCTGGGTGTATGGTTGGTGTAATGGATGATGGCTCTGAATTGGATAATCGCAGAGCCGAGTTCCAATTCCAGTAGATTTCGTTATTTTAATTTACGTGCAAATATCCTTTTTCTTTCCCTAGCCATGGGTTAATTATTAGATCTTGTATCAGTAAAAATCATTATCTGAAGAAAACACATTTTCTTTGCTTAAAATCTTTTCATAAAACATGTAAAAAAAACTTTCATGGTACTTCTAAGATTTCGCTAACATTGAGCAAAAGATGTCCCACAAAAATATTGCACCAACCTGAAGATAAATTCTTAATAGGTAATTCGGTTGGTAACTTTAAAATAACTCAAACTTTTATATTAAGGATGGTGAAAATTTGTCGGGCCGAACAATATCTTTTTTTAAATTCTGATATTTGATCAGTTCTGGGGAAGAAGATCGGGTTTCTAATGAACTGCAATAAATAATAAAGAATAACAGAACGAACCTTTTGGCAAACACTATATTTACTAAGCTTAACAGTTGAACGTATTGAATTTGTTATGAACGAGATCTGCATTCCTTAAAAGTTTAATTAAACCTTGCTAGTCTCAGTAAGCTTTTGCGTCTTAGTGGCTTTATTGCCTTGTTTGGGGTGAAACGATATATATATATATTATGAATAAAAATGACAATAGGAAAACTGGTAATTGCTGACGCGTTTCGTCCAATGTGGACTTTATCAAAGCAAAATACGAAAATGAAATTAAATGAACAACGTAACTAATAAAAACAAAAACAGAATGTACCTAGCAACTGGAATGTAGAGAAACGCTATTTTCATACTTTTAAAAAAAAAAAAAAAAAAAAATTTTTTATTTTAAAAAAAAAAAAAAAAAAAAAAAAAAAAAAATTCCTATTTAAAAAAAAAAAAAAAAATAAAAAATATGAAAATAGCGTTTCTCTACATTCCAGTTGCTAGGTACATTCTGTTTTTGTTTTTATTAGTTACGTTGTTCATTTAATTTCATTTTCGTATTTTGCTTTGATAAAGTCCACATTGGACGAAACGCGTCAGCAATTACCAGTTTTCCTATTGTCATTTTTTATTCATAATATTGTCTTCTCTACCGATTAAATCGGAGAAATTTTATATATATATATATATATATATATATATATATATATATATATATATATATATATATATATATATATATATATATGATAAGCAAATATAAATGGATATAAATCCGACAGAATGAAGAAAATATCTGGAAAAACAAAAAAAAAAATCCTTAAATGCGATTATGTTGTTTTAATATGAATGAAATGTCGACGTCTGACGTTTCGGTTTAATAACCTTCTTCAGGACAATATTCATTAAAAAATACAATTAACATAATCAGTATAACACGAAAAAAAACAATGGACATAAAAACAAGTCTCATCCAAAACAGATAAATGAAAATTTTAAATGATCAGCTTTCCGTTTGAGCGTTGTCACGTTGTCGTCAAATGGGCGACGCTTTGACGATCATTTAAAATTTGGCCGATCGGTAAGGCACGTCAGCGTAAATGACGGTTCCGTATAGGATGCAGGTTCGAATCCTGTCAAAGAACGAATATTTTCTATGAAAATTTATCGGACATTCAGGCCGGTAAATGTTATTTAATACTGTTTATTATAAACAGAGCATTTACTTAAATACTTGTATCTATAAAAAGAATGTTAAACATAAAAAAAAATGTCTTTAATATATATATATATATATATATATATATGAGTTGGTCTATTATAAAGTGATGCCTGTATGTCTAGTCACAAATAAACCTCCACCCTTGTCTACTACACTTATTATCACTATGCTATCATAGCAACTGCCTATGTAGTTATATATTGTACCTCTTACCACCGCTTTGATTAGGCCGAAAATTTTAACCCATTGCCAAGAACAATACATGAAAGTTTTACACATATTTTCTCCGTTTTTTCTATGCATATTTTTGTTAATTTTTCAATATGGTGCATGGTTTCATTTAGAGCTCAATCTGCGTAACTTTATTTTTCAATTACAAAAGATTGGTGATTGATTCTTTATCCTGATTTCCTATAAAATCTAATACTTTTCCTCCTTCTTTTATAAGATTTAATTAGACATAATATTTAAAAAATTTTCTTTTAAATCCTAAAGAATAAATATATAAATCCGGTTTCCTGTGTTAAGGATTCATTAAAACTCTAAAAATAGCTTTATTAAAACAAAAAGTATCGTGGTAATTATACGGTAGAAATTATATCAAGACAAACTGTCCGTTTGACAGGTACGATTGCCGAAGTTAAGCAACGTCACCTAAATAGGTGAAAAATTGGTGATTTCAGTTGATGTAAGCATGGATGTGCGAGTGCTGTGCGGATAAAGGCTCGGAATTGTTAATCAGGGAGCAGAGTTCCAATTCCGAATGAAATCGTCATATTCACTTAGGCGTAAATAACTCTTTATGGATTTATTTTTAACAGTAATATTGTTTGTAACTATTTGGCCATAAACTACAATTTCACTTTTATTATTAATGTCCAGACAAGAAAATTAGTTGTGTGCTTTAGGAAATAATGTCCGAGGAGAACTTCCCGCAAAATATATTTTCTACATATTATAATGTTTATTCATTGGAATTTTATCAAGAACAAACACCGGTCCCCATACGATCACTGAAGTTAAGCAGCGTCGATTCTGTACTGTACCTAGATGACTGACCAAATGGGAACACCAGGTGCTGTAAGTGTAGATGTACGGCTGATGTAAGGGATAACGACTCGGATGAGCTGAGTTCTAGTTCCAGTGGGGTTCGTTATATTCACTCACTTTTGGTAAAGATATGGATTCACCTCTCCTCCCCAGCTATGGGTTAATTAGTAATATTTGTACCACTAAAACTATTATTATCTCCCCAACCAAAAACATCTTACAAAACATTTTCCTGGCTTTATCTGACCTAAGGTTTTATATGTCATAGTAAACGAATCAACCAACAAAATTTTTGAAAGTATATTTTTGTGGCTAAGTAACTGATTCTGTGTTATAAATTTACCGAAGAGTTATTCCTGTAGTCCATTCTTCTTTCATATAAGGCCAAAGAGTATAGAAGTTACGACACTAATGAATGGTCAAAGAGACGATTTCCTCTCCATTGTGTTAAAACACAACGGAGAAACATGAAATAATCGTGAGACGTCCAGCTCAACTTGGTTTGACACAATTAATAAAGTATGGTGGCCATTAAGAATTGATCTACAGTAACAACTGCTAAATCCATTTAAATACCTTGTTTCGTTAGACAGCCAAAGCAACGATTAAATTAATTCAAACTATTTGAATTTCATATCTCCGATCATGTGTTACAGTACAATCACACTGACCTCTTTCATCTTGAACACATAATAGTAATAACGATTTTTTTTCATGTTTGAAAGTCTGACTAGAATCGCCATTGATTTTTTATATATGATTTTCTATCACATGAAATTATCAGTGGTTAACATCACTCCAATTTTATTCCATTTAAATTTAATTTAAAAAGTCCGAATAACCACCTATACGCGTAGAGGTGCTATGATCAACGATAAAGATGGGGTTGGTGAACCAAATTCAAATTTCTGATTAATCTGTTCTGTTCACTTTAGCAAAAATACCCTTGAGAAAGAATATAAAACCATCTTTTCTCCGCCCAACTATAGGTTAACCAACCGCACGGACTGAACTCCTGAGGTCTAAACGTCCTGGGAATGACGATAAACTACATCTGGCAACAATGCCTCTGACTGGGAAGTATTGAGGAACGTGGTACCACCTCGTAATTGGTGTTGTTTCCAGGTCCCGAAATTGGTAGCACCTGTTAGTGTCGCAGCTATGGGCAAATAATTAACCCCTAAATTGGGGTCAAAACAAAGTATAAAAATACATTTATGTAGTAAGAATGCCATCAATCCTTTTCATAATAATAAAAAAATACCAGTAATGCATTATTAAAGAAGGAATACAAAAATTACCAACAATACATCTTTGAAAAAGCAATTACTAAAGCTTCCAAGAAAATTAAATTTCAGCATTAAATGACCCATAAGGAGTTGATGTGCCGTTAAAGAAACCAAACCCAACCTGACTTTTAGTTAATCACAAGTCTAGCAATGGACAATTCTACTTTCAAAACAAGATTCACATGAAGGTGGCAACTCTAACCTATAAAGTCGTGGTGAGGATGAGGACTTATTCTCAAATGTGTCTAATGGCACTAAAATAGAAGGAGGGCAATGGTATTTCTTAAAGACGTTACCTGTTCGCTAAATTTTGGCAGTATCGTACCGCTTCTAGTCTTTTAAATGTTCAGCGTCTCATTCATTTGTGAGCATGCGTAGTTGCATAAATTCAAACATAAAATTAGTCCGATGAAGTCGTAAAAGACGAAACGCGTCACACGAAATCATTATCTATTTTGTCATAATTCTTCCCCCTAAAATTATTCTTGATATATAAAAAGGTTGTAACTTGTACATTATATTAAATCCAAACAAAAGAGAAAAAAAATCTTTAAAAATGCCTCTAAAGTGATTCGAAATCACGAACACTGGTTTTAAAAACCAGAGTTCGCCAGCTCTAAACTATAGAGACATGCGTTGATGCGAATTTTCTCCGGTTATAGACATTCGCAATCGATTATTTCGTAACTCTCGACAAAGGTTTTGATGAAGAAAGCACTTAACAATTAAGTCTTCTTGAAGGCCAGACAATCCGCTTTATATCAATGGAATACTTCAAGACATCTTACAACAATGCCTGGCGTTAAAGACATGTTTAAAAGCAAGAGACAAATTCAATATTTGCAGATGGATTTATCTTGACATTGCAAAACAAAGGTTACCAGTAAAAACTAGTGACGTCTAAAAAAAGAACATTTCTGTAATGTCGTCAACCAGCTATACAAGCTTATCTAAAAAGATCAGATCTAATATGAACACATATTTATACACTTTAGCATTCTTAATTCGACAATTAGATGATTGGCTCGGGATTTAGAGATAATTAGTCAATTATGTCATACACATGATTACAATGGATGTCTTCAAAATTGATATTATGTTTTGCCTACAGGGGCAATAGACGAACACACAAGATGGCAATACAGTGGCTAAGAAACGTTTTTAGCCAGGAGAAATAAACTACATCCAATTTCAAAATTTAATTAAGTAATCACAACTCAACATAAATAAACAGTATTTGGAACCAGTATAGAGTAAGTCCTCCATTTGCTAGTTTCAGTGCTTGTATTCGATTTTTCATGGATTTAATCAAGTTATCAACAATCGTCTTATCCCTATTTTGCCACGCCTTTAGCAGTGTTTCTTTAAGGGTTGCCAATGACGTGATTTTGGTTGCACGCTCTCGAAGTCTTCGGTCAAGGTGTTCCCAAACGTGCTCTATTGGATTCATGTCAGGATTTTGGGCTACCCACGGCAGTGACTTGATTCCTTGCGATTTCTTCCAGACCTATGCTACTTTGCTCGTATGACATGGCTCTCCATCTTGAAAAAGGTAAACATTCTTGCCAATCTGACTGGTTTCAAATAGTGGGAGTAGTCCTTTCTCTAATACTTGACGGTCTCTCGGACCATTTAACCACTCATCAACAAGAATCAGCTCAGATCTCAATCTAAACCAGACAACGCCCCACAAAATTATCTCAATCTCTCCATGTTTCGCGATTGTCTGCAGACATTCAGTGTTCCAAGTCTCATTTTGATTTCTCCAAACATAAACCTGTCTCGAGTTCGAATAATGACAGAATCTACTTTCATCTGACCAAATTACAGACTGCCAAAATTCATAATCTTGGTTCTTGAATTCTCTCGAACCGTTCATACGCCTGTTTCTGTTAACCTCTGAAATCGAGTGATTCTTTCTTGCTACTTTTATTTGATAGCCTATCTCTTTCAGAGTCTTTCTCACCACATATGGCAACATTTCTATGCTGCTGACGACATCTTTGACGCTCTGACGACGGTTTCTGATGACTTCTATCTTCTGCGCCCTTTCCATTCACTCAGACACGATGCTTGGTCTTCCTGAACGTTGTTCCACACGACAATGGCTTTCTTCATTAAATTTCTTAATTTAATTAACTATTTGATGATTGGCCTGGAAAACCTAGCAATTATTCCATGTGATGCCATCCTATTATTTACCCTCGTTGAAATTCACCAATTTTCTTTTACTTCCGCGAACTTTCATTGCAAAATATCTGTCAACTATCGTTCATAGATGAGAGTAGCTTGATACTAACACGGTATTGTTTGAAAATAAGAAGATACGTTATTACACAAGCCAAAATTGCTGTAATTAAGGGTGGCTAAAAACTTATCATAGCCCACTATATATGTTTTATTTAATAAAATACAACCGGAAAACTCTCTTCAGAAGTATATACTTTTTTAATCATTCCTCCCCCCAAGCAAAGCGAAAATGCTAATAATACGCAGGGGGTTACAGAGAGTGAAAGTGAGTGAAAAGATTAGGTATAGGGAATTGAGGAAAGGATAAAAAAATGAACGGGATTCAAGAAGATAGAAGATGGCGATTGACGTTGCATTTGAACTGTTGGAGATTGTAGTTAGGGAAGCATGTAAACGGACGGGGGTTCCACGGGCGAGAAGTGCGAGAAACGAGACTGTTGGAGTAGAAGTACCGGTTACATTTAACTATTTCAACAGTAAAGGAGTTGAATCTGGATGCCAATCTGTTAGCCCGCTTAAATTTATGTAGTTCGGGCACCAGAGAAAAAAGCTCGTCAGAGCAGTTGCCATACTCAGATATTCAGCAAACACACAAAGCTTCTTAGTTTGTTTTTGTAAATTGCAGAATGATCATCTCTGGTCAGAGTCCAACAATAATCAACCAGCACTGATAGACTCCACCTACATACCTTTTCGCCATTGCTGCAATGTCTTAATGAAATCGCCCACTGTACTGGTCACTCACAGTACCACAGTTTTTTGGAGAAAATCAAGATGCGAGTCTAAGAAGTGAATCTTCAACGACATGTTACAGCTAAGTAGTTTTATGGTTTCAACAGGTCTTCCACTAAATTTCTGTAATGTTCTCCTCTTTCATTACCCCAAAACATGGTTTCACTGGCATTAAAAGTTTCCCACGTAATGTTTTTTTTTCTTTTTTCTGCATTATTTTGTCAAATTTTTAATTAAAAAAAGGACAAATTTTAGGACCAACAAAGAAACCATCCTTTTTTTTTTTTTTTTTTTTTTTGCTTCCCTTGTCCTGGAAACATTATTGTGCGCATACAAATGCTGCCTTTGTTTTATCGATAGTCTACATGATTGATTCAAGCTTGATGCGAAGATGTGGCAAAAAAAAACGTTCTTTGACTCAACTAGAGGTGGATGATGAACATTTTCCTCCTAAGCTCAAGTGATTGTCGTAGTGACCAGTTTCTCTCGGTGTAAGGAAAACTTCCGTCTCGTCTGTCCTGTTCACAAAGAAAACAATAGTATGTGATATATCCACAATCTTAGAAAAAAAACCTTCAAATCTCTCTAAAGAGGTCAATCATAGTTGATACATCTCAAAAGTTGTTTCACGTTGTCATATTTTCCTTTCGTGCGGACAGCATGACCAACTGAGATTGAAGGTAAAATGTGACCATTCTGTAACAAGTCAGCTTTGTGACTTGTCTTCAAAGGATCAATGTACAGCCTCCATTCCTCTGGATTATGATTGATGTTAAGTCATTTCATAAGACTACTGATATCATTGCAGTTCCCCAAATCTCTTCCATGTTGAAGAATGGTACTTGGTGCTTGTGACGATAACGGAAATGGGAAATCCGGACATCACCAGCTAACAGATTCCGCCGTTGTAATCTGGAACGTAACAGTTCTGCTTTATTCTTAAGAAGTTCAAAATCTTTGAGTACGTTCTTTAGGTCACTTTAAGCTATGAGGCGTGGTTCAGAGATTTATTTTAGGCAATAATCCTGAATACATAAAGTTGATTCGGGCTCTGATGTTTTATTGTCTTCCCCGTAATCTGACTCAATTCCATACGATTCCGATGCTTCTGCGACTGGTATGTCTTCATTATGAGGGACAGCATGCAAAGCTGATAGAATGTTTGGATATTGCACTGTCCTTTTTTTTTTTTCTTTTTGACAGACTCTTTGCAGCTGCTAGGCATCATGCAGAAGTGGCATGGTCGGCTGTCTCTCTCCAAAACATGGACATTGCAAAAGGCATTTTCTTCCGGGTTAGCCATTGACAGTGATTTGTTCCACAGGTATTACATCATAAGTGTGGTGACAAGTTCAATCTTGGTCTCCAATTTTGTATCCAAAATATAGTTGGTATGCTTTTCTTACAACATTATATTTCACTTTTGAGATGCAAAAGTCACTTCACCACACACATAGCAGAATTTATCGGCTTTGATCAGATATTAACGTGGCATTTTTCACAGGTCAATTAACTGTGTGAAATTCTGATTGGAATGCAGAATAATGATAAGTTTATTAGGATAATAATTATATATAATAAGTTTATTAGGATAATAATTGTATATAATAAGTTTATTAGGAGAATAATAATTACTCTGATAAGGACAACAATTCTGATGAAATATTCATATAACAATAGTACCGTATCCTGAAATCTGGAGCCAATCAACTATTTAGGACATCATTTTTATTTCCAGTGACATAAAACCAGTTAGGATTGGCTATTTTTGTTTTTGAAGATTGCATATTGTAGACAAGTGTTATAGACGCAGTTGTGCCTGCAGGCCAAATGATGATGACGAAAGAAACACATATTGAAGAAAAAGTCGAAATTCATAAGCCAATTAAGGACCCTCTGAAATATTACAGTTAGTAATTAGCGCGTTTGCAACAATGAAAAGAAACACTAAAATGAAGACAGGACGATTTAATAATTCGATGAAGTAATTATAGTGTCCAAACCACGACAGTCATGTGATTGTTAGACTACTCAGGAAAGTACTCGAGACTTAAGGAGACACTTTCCCCACGAATATCATCTAAACATTTAGTGTTAACTCAATAATAATAATAATAATAATAATAATTAATATTAATAATAATAATATTATAATAAAAATAATAAAAATAATAATATTGATAATGATAATAATAATAATAATAATAACAATAACAATAATAATAAAATAATAATATTAATAATAATAACAATATTAATAAAAAAAATAATATTAATAATAAAAATAAAAATAATAATATTAATAATAAAAATAACATGATACTATTTCTAATAACATGATACCATTTCTAACCTTAGGTCACTGGGCGGGACACGGAAAGAAATGTATAAACGCCAGATATCAAAGGAAATAAAAATAATAATAATAATAGTAATAATATTAATAATATTAATAATAGGAAATAATAATATTAATAATAAAATAATAATAATAATGGTAAAACAATTTTTTGTATCTCCTTGAGGCATGGACTTCCAGGAATCCCTTCACTTAGTCTCCTGGAATCTTTTCCAACCAGTCCTAGGGCTCCAACTACAACAGGGATTGTTGATGTTCCCATATGCCACATTTTCGAGATTTCTATTTCAAGGTCCTTGTATTTTGATTATTATTATTATTATTATTATTATTATTATTATTATTATTATTATTATTATTATCTACTGTGTGACAAAGCCTAATAATAATAAAAACTTCACTCCCACTCCAGTGGCTAAGGAGGTCATGGTTTAAGAGTGAGACTGAAGGGTTTATTTTTGCTGTACAGGAATAGAACTACCTATCTAATACCTTGTATAATTTTACGGAACCAAAATGTAGGTTCTGTGACTAATACATTGAAGCTATTGATCACATTATCTCAGGATGTTCAAAACTTACAGCAATTGAATACAAAATCTGCCACGACAGCGTAGGTCAATATCTGCATTAGAAGCTGAAAACTAGTATGGACATCATCTTGAATCTGTTGTTGAGGAAGAAGTTTCTTGCATCCTTTGAGATTTTTCTATCAACACAGATCGATCAATATAGGCAAATCATCCAGACATTGTTATCAAAGACAGAAAAGAAAAGGTTAGAACATTGATTGACATGAGCGTGCCAAGTGACAAAAAAAAAAAAAAACCATGTGGGCGAAAGTTTTTGGAAAAATAAAGCAAATACCTGGAGATGAAAATAAAAAAAAAATGGGGAACTTCAAAATTAAAACTGTTCATGGGGTGGCGATGTACAGCTATATCACATTGAAACACAAGTTCTCTTACGGTCACTGAAGTTAAGCAACGTCGAGCCTGGTCAGTACCTAGATGAGTGACCACTCGGGTATACCAGATGCTAGTGGTGTAATTGTTAATTGCTCGGAAATTTTAATCGGAAAGCTTAGTTCTTATTTAAGGTTTGTTTTGTTATATTCCCTTATGCGTCTTGGGAAAGGCATGAACCCAAATCCTTTTCCCTCAGATATAGATTCGTTTGATTTGTATCACTAAATCATTGTCATTTCTAAAGAAATTATTACAAGCTAAAAATATTTTCTGGCCTGCAAATATTTAATAAACTGTAAAAACGAATCAATCCTTTGATGGTTGAAGCATTGGGTCTAATAAAGAAAGAATCAAACACTATCTCTCCAGGAAATTCAAACAATAGTTCTAACATGCACAACCCATATTCTGCGAAGAGCTTTGTCGATTTAAGTTTTTTTATTGTTTTAATAGCTGTATTTTGGTCACTTGAGTGGAAACAACAAAATTATACACCCTGGCTGTAGGTCATTGTTTATGATCCGACATGCGATTATAAAACAAATGCATGCTAAATAGAATTTTTTCAAATAATAATAATAATAATTATTATTATTATTATTATTATTATTATTATTATTATTATTATTATCTTTGATTTCTGGCCTTTACACATTTTTTCCGGGTCCCGCCCAGGGTCCTAAGGTTAGAAATGGCATCATCACACTTTCCACTGAAAAAAAAATTATATAAACAAAGCCTTTCCTAAAGTGTGGGCTGTACTTGTCAGGACAATTATTTGTATCCCCTTGAGGCATGGACTTACAGGAATCCCTTCGATTAGTCTACTGCAATCTTTTCCAACCAGTCCTAGGGCTCCAACTACAACAGGGATTGTTGATGTTCCCATATGCCACATTTTCGAGATTTCTATTTCAAGGTCCTTGTATTTTGACAGCTTTTTGAATATCTTCAAAGATACATTGCAGTCAGCAGGGACTGCCATATCAATAAGGAGGCACCGTTTTTGTTTGTGGTCTTTAATAACAATATCTGGGCTGTTGGCTTTGATTGTCCTGTCAGTGTGTATTGTGTAGTCCCATAGAATTGTAACAGGTTCTATCTCCGTAACCGGGTCTGGGTGGTGTTCATACCAGTTTCTTTCAGTTTCCTTCCCGTAGAAGTTGCAAATTTTCCAGTGCAGATATTCGGTCACTTGTCTTTATCTTCATTGCCATATTCACGACGTTTCAGCCGTTACACGCTCCGGCCTTTTTCAGTCGATATAGTTTTGAATTTCGAACCGAACCATTTATTTTGTATACCTTGGTAGTTCACGTTTCATGCCTTTTCTTGATATCTCAGTTTCAGTTATTTCGTCTTTTATTAAATCAACTCTCCAAGTTTTTTGTTCCACCCCTGACGTGAACAGATATTGAACTTACAATTCAATTGAAATTACAATGGGTCAAGTCAATGGATAACTTCAACCAGCGATTTTATTCACTCATTTTATTTAGTCTCCCCTTTTTATCCACTGGACCATGTATCTCCCCTATTTTATCCACTGGGGCGTGTATCACCCCAAGGACACTTAGCCCAGTGTATAAAAGCGTTGGTTGAAGTTATCCAGTAACTTGACCCAAAGAATCGTGATGATAATACTTCATCTCAGAAATATAGACAAATAATAATAATAATAATATAGTATGTATTATACACTGGATATGGTGGGAGCAGAAAAGTAGCCCACACGCAGTAAATGAAAGTGTAAAGCTAGTGTAAACATCCTCCTTTCGATGAGTTTGACACAAGCTTTTCATTAACAATTACACCACTAGCATTGACCATTGGTCAAGCTTTAATATTGGCTAGCCAATCAGAGCAGTACATTTGCGGCTTGCACCCCATAAAAACAGGAGCCGAAAGAGCTGAAGTAAAATCAAATTTGTTTCACATGATAGTACGCACTCTTTCAACCGGTATTATTATTATTATTATTATTATTATTATTATTTGTACGTTAATCATCTAAAATCCTGCTCTCTATGCTGATTTTTGAACTCCCTAGATCAGCTGCCTTCATTTAAATAATCGAACGAATCTGGACTGTTCATAAGAATACGATACACGGGAAGCTTCTTCAAATCCCTTTTATTTATCTATTCATGATTTTAATCATAGTGCCATAATGAGAAGTTGTTATTTTTAGACTTGATGAGTGTTGCTGAAGTTATTTATGGTAACTGGTGACTACTGTGAATTTCATTTTTCACGATCATATCTATAACAAAGAGGAGTGAAGGTTGATCTTTGACAGATCATCCAACGGATATGAACCAAAGTAAGAGTGGAATTCAGCGAAGCACGTAGCAACAAAACCCCACAATGTAATATTGGAAAATAATGGCACATTATTAGGAATAAAATATATTCTTTTCTGAAAATGTTTTATAGAAAATAATGTAACTATTTATATTTGTTCTTTGATTTTTTTTTTTTTTTGTTATGGGGACACAGTGATCGATAGACGTGATCGGGAAATTTTATGTTTTACAAAGAAACTTGTTTGAAAATGAAAATATTTAGAGGTCAATAGAATAAAATCCATGAATAAACGTTGAAAATCATCTATAACAAAAAGGTGCTAGTAAAAAAATGTAGCTGTTTCTTTTTTATAAACAAGGACATAATTTTTTATCAGAAATGTTTTAATATATATCAATATTAATAGTATCATTATTACTACAAGATTATTAGTGTTATTATTACAAGATTATTGGTAATATTGTCAAGAGATTATTATTATTATTATTATTATTACAATATTATTAGTATCATTATTAATACATTATTAGTATTATTATTACAAGATTATTACTATTACTAGATTATTATTATTATTATTGCAGAATTATTAGTATAATTAATACAAGATTATTAGTATTATTATTTGAAGCTTATTATTATTACAAGATTATTATTATTATTATTATTATTATTATTATTATTACAAGATTATTATTATTATTATTACAAGATTATTAGTATTATTATTATGAGATTATTAGTATCATTATTATTACAAGATCAGATTACAAGATTATTATTATTACAATATTATTAGTATCATTATTATTACAAGATTACTATTATTATTATTATTATTATTATTGTTACCAGATTATTGTTATTACCATATTATTAGTATCATTATTACTAAGATATTATTAGTGTTATTGTTACAAGATTATTACTAATATTGTTCCGGGATCATTATTGTTATTATTATTACAATATTATTGGTATCATTATTAGTACGAGATTATTAGTATTATTATTGCAAGATTATTAGAATCATTATTACAACATTATTACTAATATTGCTATGCGATCATTATTACTATTATTACAGTATTATTAGTATCATTATTACCACTATGCTGTTATTACTTATATGCTAGCAACACTTCTTGGGTAAACACTTGACTCACAAAAACACACAATATAACTTATTTAACATTTCAATTTTAATATATGAAATTGACACAGGACATAAATAATAATAATAATAATAATAATAATAATAATAATAATAATCTCAAAAATGTGGCATATGGGAACATCGACAATCCCTGTTGTAGTTGGAGCCCTAGGACTGGTTGGAAAAGATTGCAGTAGACTAATTGAAGGGATTCCTGGAAGTCCATGCCTCAAAGAGATACAAAAAATTGTTCTGACAAGTACAGCCCACACTTTACGAAGGGCTTTATCTATGTAATTTCTTTTTTTTTTTTTTTTTGTCAATGGAAAGTGTCATAATGCCATTTCTAACCTTTGGAAAGAAATGTGTAAACGCCAGAAATCAAAGTAAGTAAAAAATAATAATAATAATAATAATAATAATAATAATAATAATAAAAGGTATTGAAGGAGAAAAAGTGTTGTAAGTTGTCTTCTTCCTCAATGTACCGTGTCCCTTCAGGGCGTGGAGAGTCATGGCTCACCACAATTTCCTGCCATTTGTAACGCTTACTAATGTTTCTCGTTTTGCTTTTTCTCCTAAACCCTTTTCTGCCAACAGTTTACACAAACTCATTAGAAATTTATGTACTGTTTTCCTCTGCCCCTCTTGCTTTCAATTCGTCCCGTGAATATCAAATTTTCCAAGCCTTCTTTTCCCATTATGTCCCCTAAAATTTCAACTGTCTCTTTCTGATGTTAAGTATAAGTGTCCTCTTTGTTTCTATTTTCTCTAAAGCTTAGTCGTTGCTCACATTTTCAGTCCATGGTACCCTTAGACTCATTCTACAGAACCAAATTTATGTTGCTTCAAGTCTCTTCTTCATGTGTGAGGAGATTTTCCAACTTCCACTGCCATATTGCAACACAGTATATTAAATAAAAGTTCAGTATTCCTCTCTTTGTTTTCTAACGAGATTTTCCTGTTTCTTAATAGTTTATTCAGCTTTTGGAAGTCATCTTTCTCCATCTCAATCCGCCTGCGAAGTTCTGTATCGCATTGTCCGTCCTGTTAAAAAAAAATCCCAGATATTTAAATTTTACTTCTTTGATTATTAGTATATCCTATATGTAATAATCTTGTTAGCCATTTTGTTCTTTTTTTTCTGACAACTATACATTCTGTCTTACTTAGAGTTGATGTTTTAATCTTTTTCTTCACTGCCTTCTGACGGATTCCCCGTAATTTCCATTCTGTGCCTGCTACCAACACTGGGACATCTGTATATCTAATGTTGTCAGAGAATGCAAAACCTTGGCACAGAATGGACAACTGGTATTCTGTTAGAAGATCTTCTGGTTATTCTTCTTCTCAAACACCGGAGAAAGAAACAGAGAAGAAAAAAGATGTTAGTCTTTTGATAAGTCATGCTGTCAAAGAAATCCTGCAAAGGTCGTTCCATTCAAACTTTCCCAGAATCAATACACGGGTTTTGTTGTTCTAATGAATAAAAAGGCCAAGAATATCTTTGTTAGTCTTTGTCAGTCATTCTGGAAAATTTTCATTACAAATAGAAGCAAGATCATTTGCTAAAAATGGAGTATAGGAGAGAAAAGCGAATGGCAAGGCT